TAAAACAGCTTATACTCCTGTTTACAGTGGTACCGAGAATCAGACTAAGAATCAGTCATTTCCTTTAATGTATGCCAGTCCTGGAGAACCTTATAAGAAAGAACTAAAGAATTCTACTGGAATGGTCCAAAACTCTCACGTTTACAATATCACATTGCTGCTGAATGCTGTAACTTTTATATACTCCTCATCATTGTGGCAAATCCCAAAGGTACATGGCCTCCTTGTAAATCAAGCACCACCTGAACTGATCTCTGTCAAGGTGCTTAATGTGGTCTAGCTGCACATTCAGCTTATGGCCTTCACTAGCAATCTTCTTGCACCATGTGATCACTGGCCGTGTAGTGACATTCCTTAGTATACACGCTTCGGAATTCATTGGTCTTCAATTCTTATTATATGTCCATACCAAGAAAACAGCTGAAACTGAACCGTTGCTGATGAAGGTGGCTGCTGGGTTTATTGGCTTTGAAGATCCTCATTTCTGAACTTGTCCTGCCACTTGATATGGAACAACTGACAAAAATGATGAAGGTCGAAAACATCAATCTGATGTTCTTCAGCCTTTCTCAGCACCGCTTCCATACGATGGAGTTGATATAACCATGGTTCCATAGATCCATAGCTTCATAGCAAGCTTGATGTCCCCTCAGAGGCTGCTGAACGGCATGAAACATGACAGCAGCTGCTGCCGTACAAGCATCCACAGGCGCTGGCATCTAATTTTCCCCGGGGGTGCTCAACTCCTGCTCAGCCCCTGTCCTCACCCCCACTCCACCCAGCCCTTTCCTGCCCCCACTCCACCCCCGGTCATGCCTCCATTCCACCCCTTCCCCCAAGGCCTCACCCCGCCGGCCTCTTCTCCACCTCTTTCCACCCCCTCCCCCAAGTGTGCAAGCCACGGTGTGCAAGGAGGGGGAGGAGATGATCAGCACGGGCCGCCAGCGGGCGAGAGTGAAGGGGGGGAGCTTGGCTCCCGCTGGGTGCTAAGCACCTGCTTATTTTTCTCTATGGAGTCGGCACCTATCCAAGCATCTACATCTTTTGAGCATTCTCCAGTGCTGTCTGACACTGCCCAAGTATTTGACAGTTGCTACCTGCTACCTGGACAGATTTTTACTGAACTGGTTGTAATCTGGATCTGAGGGCTGCTTGATGGGAATGGCCAGAGGCTTAGTTTTATCCAGATTAATTACCAGATCAACATGCACTGCTTCTTTCCTGACCAGATTGGCCATCAGCTGCAGCAATTCACCACACTGATCCAACAAGACCATGTTATTGGTGTATTCAAGATCTCAAAGCAGAATAGTGTTCACTTCAATGCCACTGATGGCTGCCTCCTGAAGATTATCTATCAACCAATCAATACCAGTATTGAACAAAGATGGTGACAGAATGCAGCCTTGCTGAACTCCCATGGAGATAGGAAACCATGCCATGTATCTGTCTTTGACTCGAACACAGCTTTCTGTTCCTTTATAGAACTCTTTGTGCTCTCTCTTGATTGATAAAACTTTTTTATACAAGGGATCTTAATAAGATGCCTTGAGCCTGTAATACATTTGAGCGAATACAGAGGCACCTATCTGCATGGATCCAACTTTGGGGTTGAGTTCCAACTTCCACAACTTATAGTAAGTGCCTAACGTAGGGGTAGGGCCCCAAGCCTGCAATTTGTTGCATGTGACCAGTCTTCTGTGCTCATGTGCCATGAATTGCAAGATTGGGTCTATGTGCTTAACTCAGCCCTGTATTTCCTTTGTTCACTTTTTTTATTGATTATGTATTTTCTTGTGAATATAATATAATATTTCTTTAAAAAAGGAAGAAAAACTGAAACAAACCCAAAGTAGTGCCACAAGTATTCTCTCCCTGTTATCTCCCTGAACTTGGCCATCTCTGTTATAAAATTATAGGATGCTATCTCTGACATATATTTTGTTTAAAAAATAAGTCAATCAGGATGTATGTTTTACATACAATTGTAGAAAAAAACAGCACAGAACTATCATGAAGGCAAGTCATTGTTTGCGCAGTATTGAATGAAAAATTTCCATTGCCACCTGACAGTCAGTTCCCAGCAGCAACAACAAAAGGTCACTTTTTTTCACTGCATAATGTGAGCTCTGTTGTTAAGTGGGAAGATTCCTGAATAAGCTCTCCTTCCCAGCATTTCCTGTGTAATACTGCAGTGGCACTGCCAGCTTGAGATAACTATTATTACATCCGGTCTTCATTTTACTTCTCAGTTAATCCCTCCCAAATTGTTAGCTTCACAAAAAGACTCAGCAAACTGTTGGTTGGTTGTGTGTGTGTGTGTGTGTGTGTGTGTGTGTGTGGTGTGTGTGTATAATATAAAAAGAATAGGATAATTGACTTACCTGCTGCCAAGGGGACTAACTTTTAATGGTTTTGTATTTTCCCTTTATGGAGGCTCAGTATGATTTGCAGAGTGCAAATAGGACTTCAAATGAATGTAGCTTTTGATATATAAATTAGCAAATGTCCTTGGGCCAAATTAATCCCCGATGTCCATTGGAATCCATTGCATTCAGTGGTGTTAGACCAGGGATGAATTCAGTCCCCTGTGATGTAAAATAATGTATAACTTTGTACCAGAGAAAATTACAGCAGCTGCTAGGATGGCATTCTGTACATGAAAAAAATCAGAGTTCAAAATCTCCATGGGCTACCTTGCCATGCTGTGTTTCTGTGCTGTGCTCCATTGCTGCCTCCTTTCTCAATAGGGATAATATCTGTACTATTACAGCATCACTAAAGGCTTGATCGTGTGCTCATTAAAGTCGATAGCAAAACTCTCATTGACTTCAGTGGTGTAAGGTCAGGCCTAAGAAGCTGAGGGGGATGTGGCAATTTGTCAAGAAGTCTCTTCTTGTGCCCCTCCAGTCTTGATGCCCTGCTTGTCTCCTTCCACCCTTATCTCCGTGCCTTCTTCTATCTTGCCCCCACTGTGCCAACTGACTTCTATTCTCCTTCAAGTCTGTCTTTGACTTGCTGATTTCACAGTGTCCACAAAAATGGGTTGTAAATATTAAAAAGGTGATTGATTTCTTCTGGGTTTCCCAGTGCATCCCGTGTTCAGTGTCTAACTTTTAGGTTGAAAGTTCTTCAGCGCAGGTAGGATCTTCATTTTGTGTCTTTATACCATTGAGCACATTTCAGCTAATAATAACTAATCATCGTCACTAAAAATGCTGTATTAGCATCTGGTAATGGATTACTTTCCCTTCTGGTTCTCTGTTAAATTCCACAGTGGTGCTGAATGGAACTGCTGGTGCAGACAAAGTGCTAATTATGGCCAGACAGCTGGTAATCTTCTTTCAGGTATATTCCAGGAGCCAAGTACAACTTGCCTTACTTATGTAGCCCCAGTGACATACCAAATTACTTAAGGGTTCTACTGCATTTACTTACAATGATACCTGTGTTTTTGGAAGTGTATTGTGTTGGCAAAAATATAAAACATTTATTTATATTCCTCCTAAAATGTTCACCAGCCCAGCCTTTAAACATTTCCTGGCCACACTCCTAGAAGTGACTCTGCCTCTTCTGTTTGAAAATGTGCCTTTGTACTAATATGACCCGATGCAGTAGAGAAGAGGAAACTCTTAGCAGAAAACATCAGTGGACATTTACTATCTAAAGAGTCATATGTTTAGTGTGCAAATGGCCCCCCAAATGATAAAGACATGCTTGTCATCAGCTGCTTGGGATTTATTTTCGTTTGAGGCAAGAGGAGCTTCATTTGACTTTTGAATCAGTGGTTCATTTTTCACTAGGCCAGCTATTGTAGTCATCACATGGAAATATGCAGCCTTAGTATGCTCTGGAAACACTACCATTCTTTTTAACGTGGAAGCTGGTGGTGAATTTGAAAGGCCCACTCACTCACAGCACAGATGGCAGTCTGTCTTATTTTTTAGCCTGACAGTAGAAATTAATTGTGCAGAGAAACAATAAGGTAAATAAGCTTTGGCTAACAGTCAACCTATTGAAGCAGAGTTTCCTCTCTGTTCATTTGGGCCCTGTCATTTTCAGCTAAATGAACATTGTTCATTGTGTAGTAATTTAAATGTTGCAGTCGGGAAGAGGTTTGGAGGTTTTTGGGTTGGCTAAATCACATCCATTTTTTTCTTGAAACCTTACATGCTTTATTTCAGTATGCACTTTGACTTAAAGGAGATACAGTGTGTTACATAGGAATTAGAGAGAGATGACTCTTCTCCTCCCCTCCCCCCGGGGTTTAAAAGTGTGCTTGCTGCTGTACGATACAGTGTCTTCACCATAAGGTGGTTACAACCTGAGGGCCAAATGCTGGTCTTCTGAACAAATCTCCACAGAGACTGAGATGAACAAAATTCTGCTCAAACTCCCAGGCTACAGAATAGGTCATCAGAACTGCAGAGAGACAGACACTGAAGAGGCTGCATGGATAAACTCTTCCTCTCTTGCTTGTTAGAGATTAGTGTTCCAGTGGAGTCTTTTCTTATTGCAGAGTGGAGAGGGGCAAAAACACGGTCTATGAGGCGGTATATATTTTACTTATAAAAGTTAAGGGTCTCCGAGTTATTTAAAAAGGGAGTTGGAATATGCTGTATTTGGTTTACCCTCTCAATTCCAAAATGGTGAAGGAATTCTGTTCAAAATTTTCAAACACCCCCCAAAATCACCTTCCAGCAGAGGCCAAGCATAAAAATTTCAATGGAAATGTAAGTATTTCAAAAATTTTAGTTTTCATTCCAACCCCTTCCCCCCTTTTTTTGTACTATTAGCAACCTTAATTATATAGCTCAGGGGTTCTCAAACTGGGGGTCGGGACCCCTCAGGGGGTTGCGAGGCCATTACATGGGGGGTCCTGAGCTATCAACCTCCGCCCCAAACCCCACTTGCCTCCAGCATTTATAATGATGTTAAATATATTAAAAAGTATGTTTAATTTATTAGGGGGGTCACACTCAGAGGCTTGCAATGTGAAAGGGGTCGCCTGTTTAAAAAAAAAACAAAAACAAAAAAAATTTGAGACCTGCTGATGTTTCTCAAGTATGGGTCCAAGCCATGAAGGTTGGATCCAGTGTTCTGTATTAGGGCCTTCTAGTATGTGTTGGTAGATGCATCTTATATGTGGTAGGCAATTGCCCATTTATGCTTAAAATAACCCTCTTTGTCTGGTGCTTTTTCATACTCTAGGTACGAAGCACCACATATTGCCTTACGCTGTGGAATTATGCTGAGAGAATGTATCCGGCATGAGCCACTTGCCAAAATCATCCTTTTCTCAGAACAGTTCAGAGACTTTTTCAAATATGTGGAAATGTCAACGTTTGACATCGCTTCTGATGCCTTTGCTACATTTAAGGTAAATTATTTGATGTCTATGGGAACTTTACAATGTTGGGTTTAAAACAGCACTCCTCCCTCACTGGCTTTAGACTGTTGGATGTGGTATAATACATAGGGATTGGGTTTTTCTTTCTAGTAGACTGCTTTTTTTTACTGTTAGATAGAGAGGACTAAATTCATCCCTGGTCAGATTGTGACTGGATTTATAGCAGGGATAGAGTCAGTCCAGAGTCTTTAATTTAATCCAGATTTATATTTCTTTGATGTCCTTCATCCTGATGTTCCAAGGCATTTTGTATAACCATTTAAAACTAAAATTAGCCATGTATCACATATAATCCCTTACAAATAATATATGGGATGAATCATTTTAGTCATTCACAATGTTCCTTACTTCATCTTACTGCTCTGAGTTTGGTCCTTACACACCACACTGCTTAGCCATAGTTCTAGATAGGACAAGCTTTTCTCATAGATTCATCTTAAAATATTGGCAGTTCTACAATCCAGTGCTACATGGTACTCATTGCCTTCTCCCTGGGGATCTGTGGGCTTGGAGCACCAAGCAGGTTCAGATTTTAAGGCCTTGATCACTGCAATTTCTTGCATGCAGAGAGGCTACTACACCCATGCAGAACCCTAATGAAGTCACTGGGACTTTGCATGGGTGCAGCAGTCTGGAACATGCAATGAATTTCAGGATTATGGCCTAAGAGAGTAATTGCTATGCAGACTCAGGTGACTTGTTCTTAGATAATTTAAAACAAAGAGAATGATTTCTTTAAAGTTCAGGAACCTGAGGCTGCAGCAGCCTTTAGGTTTTTATTCTTCAGAAGCAGAGTTAGGTAAATAAATTCCATGAATATTTGCGTGAATAGTTAATGAAGTACCTTTCGCAGTATTCACAATCCTTTATTTAGTTTGTATCCAGATTTAAGTACAACTTAAAAGAAATCCTGTCTGGGCTCTAGGTGCCCTTATTGTTAAATTTAAAATAATTACAAAACCAAAACATCAGCATGCTTTTTGGAATACGTTTGCAAATTGGTTGTTACATTGATCCGATCACAAAACAGATGTAAATCATATGATTAATGTGATCAATCACAATGCAACAACACAATTCAAATAGCAAGCTACAGAGTCAACAAAAATTAATGAAAGTTTTGTTGAATAATGTTGATGAATAAATAAAATATGTGACTTTCTTAATCTGTGCACAGACATTCTACAAACTGAGAAGGGGCAAGGACCTTCCCCACCTTGGGAGGCCCATGTAAGAGCCAGATGTAACTACTGTATCTGCACTGCTTCCATATTCTTGGAGGAGCAGGGAGGTGGAATCAAGACTCTGTTCCCCTCCTCTGCACCATTCCATGGAGTGGGTCTGGCACACACAGAAGAAAAAACTGGCAAGGCACACCACCAAAAGGAGTGTAGTAATGGTTTTGAGTCCCCTATGTACTGCATCGTTCAAGGAGGTATTCTGCCTCCATGACACAGAATATCTCCCAGTGGTCTCCATGGGGAGGTGTGGCCACATACCACTTTTTACCATAGGCTGTGTTTAAATGGCACAGTTTAGTTCATTATTGTTTCAGGGAACTGAGTGCTGACATTGTATGTGGAAGTTTATCCTCACTAAGTCCTTGTGGACTGATGCTTCTGCTGAGATGAATAATATAAATCTTAACCAATAGAAAAGACATCACCACATATTTGAAACAGCAGTAAAAACAGACTGAAAGAATGACTGCCAGACACCTTCAAACCCGGCTCTGTGACTGCAACAGGATAACAGATGCTGTGCAGAAAAATAATACCAATCCCATAATAAAGCAGATTTTGCCAGCTTCGGCCCAAACAAAATGTACTCATTCCATGCCTGAAGTGAGTGACATGCTAAACACATAATTTAAAAAAAAAAAGCTCTTTTTTTGCTTAACCATCCTGGACAAAAGGCTGATATAATTATTAATATCACTTCCAAAGATGTGCTAGGAGATTGGTAGCATGGGTAGTTGAACAAGGTCCATGCCTTAAGGACTTTAAATTGTCAATTTTTAGACACTGCACAAGTGAGAATAAGAACCAAGAGGGAGGATTTGAAACATCTCCCATCTGATTGACATCTCTGCCACTTGGTTTAATATCAGCTTTTCATCAGATCAGGATGGTACCATGTACTAATAATTTCCAATCAGTCAGCTATTTAATCTGACCAACTTTGCCTAAATCTTTCTTCTAACCAATTCTGGGGTGGTGCCTCCCACAGCTTGTCTTGGTTTTGCAATGTCATTTGTGAACTCTGATAGCGGCATTAGGAAGACTCACTGGAAAGCAATGTCTTCTCAACTAGGTATTTTTTGGGACCTTCCTAAACAAGGTTGTCGCTGGCTTTGACAGGCCTGGCATCTGGGACCTCCATGTCCATGGAATGGTTGTGAAGTAGGAAATGCTGTGTTATTTTACCATGCTGCCTGTTACTCAGTTTAGAGAGACAAAGCCTGTGAGGTAATGTCTTTTATTGGACCAACTTCTGTTGGTGAGAGGGACAAGCTTTCAAGCGACACCAAGCTCCGCTTCAGGTCTGGCTTTGTACTGTCCACTAATAGATAATGTAAGAATTTTGGCTGACAAGTAATTCAGATATTAGTCCTTATGTATGTTGCCATCTCAAAAGGATGGAGAACGTGCATAAGTTGCTATAATGTGCACTCTGGACAAGAGAGTACTTGGGTCAGTGTAGTTCTTTTTTTAAACAAAAAAAACAACAACTGGTAGATCCAGCAATACCACGTAGGAGTCTGCAAACTTATCGCCAATGCCCCTTTAGTATATTGTTAGAAGAAATATAAGAATCCCTGAAGAGGGCACCAGCTTCAATCACATGTCTCCCACCCCATAATAGAGGGTTCCACATGCTCATTTCCTCTACTGCTTTGTCCACAAAAGGTTCCCTTTGTTCCTACCTCTTCAATAGTATTCCAATCATTTAAAAAGAAGAATGACTAATTGCATTACTGCTGTTCCCAGCCCCAGCACTGTGGTCATGGAGTTGGTGCCAGGCTATGCAACAAAGCATCTTTGAGCTGTATTAGGGACTGCAGACTGCTTTGCCTCCTGTGTGTAATCAGCAGATCCATGTAACTTGAAAACATTTCCAATACAGCCTGACTGGATCAAAGGTGCCACATGCACCTGTACTGGTCACACGGTCCTAGGACTGCAGTACAGCGATGCGGCAAATTTTAACTGATGACTCTGTAAACTTGTAGTTCATGAGACTAGTTTAGAATAAAGAAATAAACTGGTGAAAATAATTACCCTGTGATTACACAGTACTTACCATGTAGGTCTATATTTACTTTGTATGTTAGGTGAGGGTTGTAAAATAGAGGAATTCATGCAAAATCGTAGGTGTCATTTCAGTCTCATTTTACCTCAGTATTTTTTCTTCCCTTTTCCTCAATGTTTAATGATACTTCACAATGCACATTTGTAGCAGTACATAAAAAAATCTCTTCCCATAATTCTGGAAATGGGAATAGTGCTGCATCTTACATTACATGAAGTTTTTAGGATAAAGGTCAAGTTGGCAAATGAACTTGGTAGAGAAGTAACAGTAAGTCTCTAGATTGGATTTAGATGGGGAGGAGGGGAAGCAGAGCCACAGTGAGTATGGATGTGGGAATAGAGCAGTGACAGGCAAGGTTAGATGGTAATCATAGAACTGGAAGGGACCTTGAGAGGTCATCTAGTCCAGTCCCCTGCCCTCAAGGCAGGACTAAGTATTATCTAGACCATCCGTGACAAGTGTTTATCCAACTTGCTCTTAAAAATCCCCAATGATGGAAATTCCATAACTCCTAGGCAATTTATTCCAGTGCTTAACCACTCTGACAGTTAGGAAGTTTTTCCTGATGTCCAACCTAAACTGCCCTTGCTGCAATTTAAGCCCATTGTTTCTTGTCCTATCCTCAGAGGATAAGAACAACAATTTTTCTCCCTCCTCCTTGTAACAACCTTTTATGTACTTGAAAACTGTTATCATGTCCCCTCTCAGTCTTCTCTTCTCCAGACTGAACAAACCCCATTTTTTTCAGTCTTCCCTCATATGTCATGTTTCAAAGTAGCAGCCGTGTTAGTCTGTATCCGCAAAAAGAACAGGAGTACTTGTGGCACCTTAGAGACTAACAAATTTATTAGAGCATAAGCTTTCGTGGACTACAGCCCACTTCTGGTATGCATCCGAAG